CGCTTACAGTAATTATCATGTCCAGTTTAGCTATGTCATGGCTATGTAAAATTAATCAATGTAATAACCTGTACTAAACTTGCTGCACTTCATATATGCGTTATAGCATAGAAGTTCTTAAAGATAAAATATTTATCAGTTATCAAACATATATTGTTATGTCCGTAATTAAAATGCCCTTAACCTAATGTGACTGAGGTGATTCCCCCAGTCCCCCGTAGATCTTTTCTTCAGCGTGTCCTGTGTCTCTGGGGCCATGTTCAAACATTTGATAAGTCACAGATATAACCCAAAGACGTGCTGTGGATGTGAGAGAGCCGGTGTGTCGCCAGCAGCCAAGCATGGCTGAGCTATCAGAGGGGCTGCAGCCAGCGGGGAATGATGGATCGAAGGCAGGGGGTTGTGGGGGGGTGAAGGAGGAAAGAAGAGGTGGAGTGTAGCAGAAGGGCTGGAAGGGGAGTGCTCTGTATTCTTATGCTAATCCAGGCTGGGATGAGGTACAGAAGCAGCCAAGCAAACAATGAGAGTGGAGCCGGGAAGTCTGCTCTTCACTGCTGGCCGGCGTGCCTTGAGAGGCAGGCGAGGCGCTGGGCTGCCTGCAAGGAGGGGCCCCCAGGAGGGGCCGGGGGATGCATGCCAGCACACACACACACATACTGCACTCACTGACTCTATGAGCCAGGGAGCAGAGACAGCAGTGGAGAGTGTGTGTGTGTGTGTTAATGAGTTCCTTGTTCCTTATAAATAATTTGTCGAAATTCTGAAACATTTTTATTTGTACAGGTGTGTGTGCTTAATAGATTATTTATTATTTGAGATCTGAAAGCTTTTCTTTGTATAATGAACTTAAGAGCAGATCATATGGCTAAATGCAGTCTGTACTGCTAATAATTTAACTAATGCCAGATTATATGGATAAATGCAGTGTTTTGGATTATTTTGAGAGTTTTGTTCCATTTAGCTTTTTGTCAGTCATGCCAGAGCTGATTTCCAAAGATAGATAGGGCCTTAAAAAAATGCTAGATCACGTGATGCCATTATTTTTATTTAAATGAAAGGATAACAGCCAGAGCTACACGCTTGTCATATATAATGTACTTTGCTGAGAAATAGTACAAATAATATTTAAAAATGTATAATATAAAGTAGTTACAGTATCTACACAGATACATCAGGTTTACATTATACTATGGCTTGTTTTGATTTGCTTTACTCATCTGCTTTCTTTGGCCTTTTTTTGTGTGTAAACAGATACAGATGCAGGGGTCAACAATGTCTGTTGCCCAGTGGCCTGGCCACAACATTTCATGTTTTGGCCACTAAAAGTGTAGAACCTGTGGCCTGAGTGGTTAGAGATTAGATTTTAACGTTAACATTACTGCCGCTATGTCATATGTAAAAGTTTGAACACTCTGGTCTAGTTACCACGTCCTCTACAGAAAACACTCTTAAATATGGCATTTTTCTGCACATTTTAGGGCACAGTTTCTATGTATTTGCTAAATTAAACATGGTGAATTTAACAATGGGGGAAAAAAAAACATAAAATGTGCCATAACTTTACACTGGGCACATTGTATGTTTTATTTCTTTCCCCAGTTTGTTAAATTCAGCAAGTAAGTGTTTTGTTCTCTGTAGAGGATGTGTTCTTATTTTCACCTAGAAAATCAAGAAAGGATGTAATTTGCACTCAAACGTTTGCATGCAACTTCTCTCAAGTACTCTGAGAATTTCCTCGCAGCCTGCTGTGATGGCTGCATTGTTATGGCTGCTTTAAAGCCAGTGGCAGTGTTAACAATGTAAAAAAGAATCAGATAATGATGATGACTAGTTAGAAATTTCGGAGTTGAGTGGAAGAAAGAATTTGTGTGGCTGGAGTGCGGTTTTTGGAGGGATGTGATTTTCTGCCAAGCTTATTGTCAGATGCTTTTTAACAAAAAGTGGAGTGGACATGGGGGACTCATAGCAAAACACCTGACAGTTTTTTTGGTACTGCCGTACGTGCTTGTTAATTGTAAATACAATGTATGTGCAGTAAACGTGTTTCTATTGTTCTGACCAAAGTTCTTAATTTTGACCACAAGATACATTGGCATGGTGGCCCTAATGACCAGTGCAAATTTGTATATCTGTCTACCACTGAACAGATTAATTTTTTTACATTTCCCCTTTGGAAAGTTCAGCACACTTACTCTACCATTCATAAGCTTGGAATCATATATTAATAATTGCTGTTCTTGGTGTTCAACAGCTTTCATTCAGTATGGATTCATCTGCAGCTCCGTTCGTCATTCTAGCTCACGTTTCCTAGTACTTTACAGCTGCCTGCAAAATAGTTTTAATCTATAATGTTGTAGAGTAGCATCTTAGCAGAAATCACTTTGTACATGTATATTCAACTGTTTTTATGTTAAAACTATTTGAAGGACAGTGTAACTATGAATTTTCTTTTCGTATCCGAGTCTGTTTATGGGCTCGGAATGTCACTAATTTCATTTTGGGTAAAAAATATATGTAAATGATACTAACAAAAACTATTCAGCTCCATATTTAACAAGCTGTTGTGGAAAGTTTTATATTCAGCTGCTAATAATTCAGTTGTATTTCACACTGAAGGTGGCATGATGTTGGTGGTGCTCTGTTAGATTGGAAGAGATTTAAAAATGAAGTATAGTTCTGCTTTATCTAATAAATGATTGAGTCTACTTGAATGGAAAAGTGGTTCTGCATCAGTGGACTGTGACTTATATTGTAAAAACTGAGACATTTAGAGCCACTCTCGCTACCTTGGGGAAAGAATTGCCCCCACTCACTCTGCTGCTCCTCAGATTTCTGTCTCCAGAGCGATTTTTCCCTTTCAAGCTTTGTGTGATTGACGATTGTGGGAATTCCTTCCTAGAACCCCCCCTCCCATGCCTCAGTGATTTGCTATAAGGAGCAGTTATTCTAGATGGTGGTCACAGTCTCCTCTACATTTTTTTCTTCGTCTCTGTTCGTTCACCCATTTAAGGCAAAGTAATGAGGAGAACTCCTCTGAAGAATGTGGGGAAAGACCTTCTGTGGGACTGTGCTGTTTAGCTCATTGGATTCTTGACCTTTTGTTCACGCTTACTGGGATTACTCCAAGTCAAGTTATCCATCTGCTAGTTCTCACCCCTCAACTTTGATTGTGTTATTCATATCACGTTATTCTGGTTAAGTTGGGATCTATATTAGAATATAACAGGTGAAAATGAGCCACATACTTCTAGGCATATGCTAGCATAAATAAATATTAATCTAGATTTAAAATTCTTGATATTTCTAGAATATTCCAGAGTATAGGAGCTATATAAGAAAATGATCTACCAACTGAGCTGAAAGTTTCCTGTAAGCCTGGCCCAGCTGAACAACGTTGTCTGGACCAATCATAGGTTATTTATAAATTTATAATTTATTACTACTTTTAGTGTTGAAATATTAGTCCAGTTTGTCCTCATGCAGTTATTACAAAAATTACACAGTAAATGAACAGTATTATTGATGATGGTAGTCCCCAAATTGGCACCACCTACTCTGTGTGACACTCCTTAAAACTCATGAGCATGTGATTCAACAAAAAGGGGTAGTTCAGTGAGTCAGTCAGTGGCTGGCCCAGTGAAATGTCTGGAAATAAATCCCCACCAAGAAGAATGGGTTGGTCAGAGTTTTCTTTAGTATCAATAAAAGATCTTGCTTGTGTCAGTTTGAATGGAGAATGTGAAGCAGGTTGTGGTAGAAAGAGACTGGAGGCCTGAGTTGAATCCAGCGCGTGGCTTTGTGTGTTATGCTGTTGCTGTGCGAGTGTGTGCAGCGGAAGCTCTTGTTTACAGATGGAAGTGTCAGTGTCAGGGGCCTCATATGAGTGTGAGGGAATCGTGCTCCCTCGCTGGCTGCACTGCCCGGCCTCAGGCCTCCAATCTCTTCTCAAGGACCAGTCATGGCATGCCCACCAGCACTGATCCTTTATCTCTTTCTGCTCCTGCGTTCCTCAAACCTGGCCTAAAGTGACGTGGCCCTGCAGCTCGTTCACAAGATCCAAAACAGTTTAAAAAACATGGTGATTTTTTTTTTTTGAAGGAGTGAATAAATATTGCTGTTTTTGTTATATTTTTACATTTGGAAATACTTCAAGAAATTGTTAGCCAAGAAATTAGCCTGTATGATTCTAGCATTGCAAAATCAGTGCAGTTGAATCAGCACCTTCAGACTGATGCATCAATGCATTCAACACCTCTAATAGACAGACAGTTTCAAATAGTGTTACAGTGTCCTATAATCCATTGGAATGTTTTGTTGTTGTAGAGCGATGGGTGAGTTAGAGCCTGTTGCTGGCACTGCCCATTCCTTCCTTTGCCTGTGGTCCTGTTAGGAGGGGGCCGTGGGCCATCTTAAGGGGTCCCTCTTGAGCCACAGGAGCCCCTCCTTTGTTTCCCCATTACCCAGGAGTCAGGGAAGTGTGAAAAGTAGGGCGCAGGTCGGGGCTCTTTGTCCCCCTTGGCCAAATGAAAAGTGACAGACACCAGCCCCCTCTCCGTGCCTGTTAATTCACCTCCCCCCAAGCCCGAGCAGCCACCGGGACCCACTAATTGCACAGAGACACGCAGGAACTAGGAGAGAGCAGACACATTATGTTATTAACGCTGGACAGGGCCCAACACCAGCTTTTTGTATGGGACACCCCCTGATCAGAGCTGTTCAAAACTCAAAGGTCAAGCTCCAGCAGAAAGAAAGCTTGGGGCGCTAAGGTAGGAGAGAGTTAAATGCAGTAGTAATAAAGATTACAAATTAGAAAAAAAAAACATTTAAAACAGTAAATTGAAATTTAAGACCGCATCACTGGTTGGGTTCTAACTTTCAGAATGTATTTGTTGTCAAAAATTCAGTCTTAACCTCAGAATCGTTAATTGTATCAAATGCAAAACCTCAAAGTTCTGCATTTTGACCACTAATCGACCTCTTTTGCTCTCTTTTCTTTGTAGGGTTTTAACAAGAAGAATCAGTGAATAAACTTTGAAGTTTCCACCATTCTCTTGCTGTGGTGCTGTCTGCAGCCCTAAGAGATCATCCCCCAGCATCACCACTCCACAGTACCAGAGCACAACACAATCAAAACGTGTACAGCCTGTCACTACTCTACTGCCATGATGAAGATGATTGGAGTCCTCCTCACAGTCCTTGGAGCTTGCGTTCTTCTTTCTCTTCAAGCTGAGGGTAAGATATCTCAACTGCGAGTTCTAAAACTGAACCAACTCCCTCCTGCAGAGTTCTCTGCCACTGATTTGAGACATTTGGAAATATCAGACTCTTTTGAGTGGACAGTTTGGATAGTTTCCTATGTTCTCATTAATAACATGTGTTTATAATGCTTGTGTTTTTAGTCATCAGTCCCTATAGCAAGTATGATTTTGTTTTGTTTGGTCTCAGAAATTGGCAGTGGAGAAAACTGGAGATGCTTGAATTGCTTCTGAGATGATGAATACTGATGGCTGATAGAAATGCATCAACATTTGTTAATGCAGAACAGAGGCAGGAAAATAGATATTTTTTCCTGCATTTACATGATATTGTCAGTAGTTTGATTTCGTTAATGGGTGTTGGCCTTTAAAAATATGCATGTTAATGGCTGTGGTCATCATTGTCAATGGCTAGGAGATCTTGAATCACTGCACGTTGAGTAATGCTTCACAGAACAAAGACTGAATTAAGCTGGGTTTTCTGTTCATAAAAATATTTTTCCTTCCAGTTTAAGTTGCATGTAGAAATATGTGGCTGTGCAACATCTTATTTCTCAAAAAACAGACTATGCCAAAATGCTGTGTCCCACACCATGAGCTATCTGAAGGCATTTGTTCAGCTGCATAATTCACCCATTCAGTGGGGTATTCAGTAGTTGTAATGTGAGAATCCACATCTTTCAGCTTCCACTGCTTAGGTGTGAATGGCCCATTGCTAGCACAAAGAAGCCATTTGGCTATGCACAGAAGGGCAGTTTGGTGATCATTGGAATTGTATGTGAGAGATAATGAAGCAAGTAGAATGGTTAGGTGTTTGGATTGGAGCTGTGTGTGGATACCGCCTTAACATTCATTGTTTTTGGTCTCTGGTGGGAGGTGGGTTGGAATTAACAGATATCTGTAGATTTAAGGATTTGGACAAAAATGAATGGGCTCCATTGTGCTTCTGCAGATAAAGTAGCATGTTATCTCTAAATAGAACTTTAAAAGTGCCCTTAAGTCAACTACCTCTGCTACCTAAAGCAGACTTACTGCACTTACTTTTGCATCTTATATACTGCGATATACTGTATAATATACATTAGGTGTTACTAAGTAAGCAGATCATCAGACATGGCCTGTTTTTGGTGTTTGCTAGAGTTTGTAGTGTCTTAGATGACCAGACCGCATTAAATTTAACAATTTGTCTTAGTCACTAACAGTAGCTCCTTTGTAAACCCTTGATAATCTACCCAACAGTTACTCACCGATTTAACTGGATCACACTGCCTGTTTGTGTTTGGTGTTTAGTTTATTTTTTCAAAAAGCCTATTTTTGGGTACAATTTCTTGGAGTTTTAAACATTGTCTATTATTAGCAACAGAAAAGCCATGGGAGAGAGCGCTTCCTGTGCCGAGGGCTAGACTTATGACCCTTCTGAGCCTGACAGGGAAAGCAGATTGGATGGAGATTAAACTGTACTTAGCTTTGAAGTTGTAATTAATTCATCAAAGATTACAAGCTCATTATTCGCATTTCGAATAAAGTATTTGAAAAGGTTTAGCTGCTGTATTTTCATACTATTGCTGTTTGGGGGAGTGTTTTCCCTTGATGAAATTGCTGTAGTTATTTTGGTCGAGTGTTGCTGCGCCCAATCCACTGTACCATCTTTAACCCTGTGACTGGAGTGGTCATCGTCAGCCTATGAGCCTAGTTAGCCTCCTAAAATATATCTTCCATGTTGCTATTTCCACCTCTGTGCTGGGACTGCTGCAGAAACGGATGCTGGAAGCCATTCCTCCTTGCTCGTAAATATGGCCAGAGCCATTAAAACAAAGGGCAACCACCGCCGGTCACTGCAAAGGTTCCCTTTAAACAGCAAGAGAGAGTTGAGTGTGGCGAAAAGTGAGGGTTACGAACTGCTTCTGAATGTTGATGAGCATGTTTTTTTGTTTTGTCGAGGCCAAGGCTCACACTGAATGGTTTCTTCTGTCTGCTGCAAGCGGCCAGCCATTACTCAGAGATATGTCATGTCACCCAACACATTCTTATGGGACTTTTCACATTCGCATTGGTGTGTTTTTTTTGTTTTGTTTTTTTTCAGGAACCTGCACTTGTGCAATCAGAGGAGATGCAGTTTGTGAGTTCAGCTTTTTAGAAAGGAGGGGCTAACATGAGGAAGCTTTTAACTTAGGGTAAACGTAAAGTGACCAAATTAAACCTTTCTTACTCTCGTTGTGGCACAGCACAGGAAAATCACACACGGAGCATGTGCTGAGAATCACAGGTCTAGTGTGGCTCACCACTTCTCACTTAAAGGGATACTCCAGTGTGCCACATTTGTATCATGTGATCGACCAAAAACAGTAAAGTCCCTGTTCTTAGAAAAGAACAGAAAACACATTGACTTAAAACACGATTATAATAGAAGCCAATGGACAGGTGCTGAAACTGCTTCCCAGTGGTTTCTATTATATGTGGGTTTTCTGTTCTTTTGCTACATTTAGAAACATGTCAACTTGTCAAAATAAACCTGTGCTCAGTGATGGTTAACCGACTACAGTAACAGCCCCAGTGACAGTAAAAACACATTTACCATTGGTTTAAAATCCTGTCCCATTCCCACACATGAATGTAACTGAACCTTTACACATCTTGGATGAATTGATTTCTTGCATTAATACCACATTTAGGCCCAATCCCATTTGACCCCTCGCCCCTACCACTTAGCCCTTAGCCCTCTGTTTTGCACGTTCATGTCTAGGGTTAGGGTGTCCTGATTCTTGTTGAGATAGAGGGGTTGGGCAAAGTGTTAGGGCTACATGACCCTCCAAACAGAGGTTTCTCAGAGGCACACTCCAAACGGAGTGTTATGAGGAAAAAAGAAATTGTGGTTTGGCAGAAATAAATAATTGTCCCTCTTTAAAGGCATATGATTCCCTAAATGTAACTAAAGCCCAGCAGTGAGGTTGCTGAGCTTTACCCTCCTCTGCTATCACTGCAGACTGCCAGGGTCATCTACAGAGCACCACTAGTAGCCTGTTAATGAAGTAATGTTCTTTTTTTTTATTTGAGGGTTGTCCCATTTCGAAAGGGAAGATTTTAAGCACTACCCCTTATGACTCAGTTCCAAGGGGCAAGGTGACACTTGAAAACAGGGTAGGTAGGGGTAAAAATAAGAACTGGGATTGGGCCTTATTGTCCTCCTCAGATCACAGCCTCAGTAGGTTTCAGACATCAGAAAAAAGAGCTCCAGATATTGTGAAAGCGCATAAGTAAAATCATGTCTCAGCTCTCGTATGTCAGGCAAAACAGGTTGTTTTACACAGCGAAATGGCTTCAGAGAAGAAGCCATCAGGCTAAGCTAAGCGTCCTCAGACGGTAACATTTGTGTGACATTCACAATTCCGTTCTTTGATTCATTGCTAGATTAATTACAGTTTCATTGCCATATTAAAAATTACAGTACAGTACAGTCTAGGGGTGGGTGATGTATCTTGATGTCATTTTTCATGATAACAGTAAAGATTGTCATGTTGCCTAGCTCAATTACAACTGCAACTGTGCTTTTGTTATGTTGTTCTGTTTCGTAGCTTCAACTCACAAGCTATCACTGTGTGAACCATCTTGAATTTACCCCCTGTCCCCCATTTTACACAGCTATTTTCCACACGATTACCTGAAGACTCTGTTACCAGCACAGGCCTATGTCAATATTACTGTGCATGGTAATCAGCCATATGCCACAGATGTAGCAGATAGAGATTAGGCTGAGAGAAACGCTGGTGTATTCCTTCAGTTTCATTCTTTCTCATTTCACTTATCAGTTTACTATAGTTGTATAATTGATGGAGCTATTTTAGGGGTCTGTGATGCTGCGTCTGTTGTTTCTGTGAATCCTTCATGATTGGCTCTGTTTCTTTGAGAACGCGTCCCTCCCTCCTCCCACCCTCGCAGGCTGGCTGCTCTGGCCTTACTACAGGAAGCTTGTTGAGTCTATTGTTGGTGCTCTGTGTTTCCCCAACACTTTAACCGTTTCCTGTATTACGCTGCCTGATGGTCATTACCATTGACTAAACACCCTAAATACTCGCGGCTCTCCGGAAACGATAGTCAAAAGCTGACAAAAAGGGAATAGCTGAGGCCAAAGTATGCAGCGCGCGTGTGTGTGTGTGATGCGGCAGGCCAGTAGGAAAAGCCCTCTACACTCTCACTGTTACAGCTTGCAGTGGTGTGTTTGTGGGGAGCTTGGCTTTGGAGGTGTCTCAGAGCCCATTAGAAACTCACTATAATAAAGCCAGCACATTTTATGGGTCTGTCTCGGGCAGGCCCTTGTTTTCCACATGTTCTCCTTTTTTTCTTTCCTTCCATTCTCTTTTAACAAGCTGGACTTCTAATAGCAAGGGATTAAGTGCTGGAGATTTTCCTCTGAAATTTGAGCTCCTGTTGTGAAGCATATGATCATTACAGACACTATGATCTATTGTTATATAAAGATACATTAGTGTTAATTATGTAGCTCTAGTAGAACTTAGTCTGCTGTTCTTTCAAACCCTTATAGGTAGGCCTTTTTCTCATGGGCAAATAACGCATCAGCCTGATTGTTGTGTCGTTGGAAAAGTATGGACATTAAGCCTTTTTTAATTTTCCAGCCCGTGTTCTTTCTGTGGGCCGATTCTGAACTGCGTAACTGATTCTGCAGCATGTGGCGTACTGAAGAACCACTGACGAAACGTAACTGTCCTGTACAAATGACATGGGCTTGTTTACTTTGATGGGCTTAATGGACACTCTGAGATATTCCATGGCCTTAAGGTGGTGAGAGATTTGTAAGACTCTGCATGGCTCTACCTTAGACGTTGAGGCGCTGTCTGAATAAGCACTGCCATGATTATAGACTCAGAGTCTTGGCTGAGTTATTGCATCATTTCCTGTTCAGACATTCCTGTAGCTCTGGGAAACGCAGTACACTTAGGACAGCTTAGATACTTTATATTT